TTCTACAAGCCCAGCCCTGAGGGATCGGGGTGAGCTACTTAAGACTCAGTGGGGTCATATGAGGCTTTGGCCTCCTCCACCCTATTCCTGTGCCACCTTCCTCCTGGAAGACCTCAGCTCTGTCCCCTACCACTGTTTATCCCCTTGGCTTCAGAATCCCCAGAGCAGAATGTGCGTGTGTCTTTCCCCAGGGAAGGCTTGCATCAAAACCCGGGTACTTTCTGTGAAATGTTTGTCCTGCCTGGGCTTGGTAAATAGAAGCGGTGCCAGCACGAGTTCCTGGCCCCTCTCCTCCTCCAGCACCAGGGCTTCCGGTCCCAGCGGGCACCGCGCGCTTCTCCGCAGCCGCCACCAGGGGGAGCCTGGGCCGGGGGTGGCGGTGGGGCTGGGGGTGGGGGTGGGGGTGGGGTGTTAATACAAGAGGAAGGAGGTTGGGGGAGAGGGACAATATGAATGAGAATAACGGACAACTTCCCACTTAAAATCCCTAAACACGTGAGGAAATCTCTCGCAAAGAAGGAGATGCGAGGAGAGCGGCCGTCAGAACAGGAATCCGGCCCCAGACCATTTGTCGCAAAGGAAGTAGAGAGGTTCAGTAAGCAGCCCCGCACGAGTCCCTTCCGTCATTCCCCAGAGCTTCTTTATAGGGAGCGACTGGGTTTGCAAGACGGAGCCCCGGCTGCTGCCCTGGTCATCTAACGGCCGGTCTGGTGAAGTGTTTGGTGCGGGAACCATGTATATATGGTTTTTATATTGCAAGCCCTGTCTTCTATTAGGGGAGACCCTCAGTGGCAGGTAATTAGCAAAGGAAAAATGTACTGGTTTACAGCTCACATGCCTATTTAATAACGTGTTTAAACCCCAGCGGTGCGGACGGGACGCCGGAGTCGGTGGGCTCTGCTCTGCCTTGGCCGAGGGGGCGTCCCGGAGCGCCCCCAGGGAGAGCCGACCCGGCTCAGTCCGGACTCCGCGACCCGGGACAGGTAGGACAAGTCCCCAAGTGCCCCTAAGAGAGCCCTTCGGGGGTCACGGCCCCCCAGGCCCACAGCACCTCTCCCGCCCTGCGCCCCTACTGTGCGGACCCCACCTCCCGCCTCACCTCCACCTGCCCCGCAGCCCCCCACCTCTCGACGCTGCTTCCACGTCCCTCGTGCCCCTGAACTCATACTTTCCGTTAATAACCCCTCCTTTCAGGAGTTTCTGTCCCTGGGCCTGGTTGGGGACAGTGCTAAAGGGACGCTCCTCTGGGCTGTCCTGCTAAACCTTTGTCCACAGCACTAACCTTGACTTTCTCATACCACCGATGCCTTCCATACCTCCCACCTCCTCAGAGACTCCTCTCCGTGGTTAGTTAGGATAGTTTCCCCCTCCTCTATGGGGGCCTCAGTCTGAGTACCAGAGGACCTCATTGCCAGTCCCAGGGGGGTCTTTGGTAGCTTCCCCCAACAGACTAGGGGCCCTCAGGAATAGTAGTACCCACCTAAGTGGCCCCGCTTACTATCCCCAGGGTCAAAGGGTGGGTGTCAAGACCTTTGCCACATGACACAGAAGAGTGTGTGCGGCTACTTCCCCTCCAGTGAGGAGGGGACAAGGAAGAAAGCTCTAGACTGCAGCATGAAGAATTCCTCCCAGACTGTAACAGTGCTCTACTATTGAAGATTGCTAATCATTAGAATGCCAATGAAAGGTTTTAGGCAACATAGGCTCTTCCACAAAGAATGATCAAGTGTCAGGAAGTCTTCTAGGGACAAGGACACAGATATCTAAAGGATAGTCATACCATGAGCTTGTGGTAGTGGTTAGGTTATACCATGTTTCCCTGAAAATAAGACCTACCCATAAAATAAGCCCTAATAGGATCTCTAAGCATTTGTGCAATATAAGCCCTACCCCGAAAATAAGCCCTAGTGATGGGTGTGGCTACGCAACGTAACTGCACAACCCATGCATTTCCTCGCAGAGCGGTAAAGAAGACCAGCAGCCCCTCTCATCTGCCCCATGAGAGCTCTAGTGCTCCACATGAGAGATCGGGGCCAATGGTTCTAAAGGAAATAGAATCGCAAGAAATTCAGGATGGAATTCGGGGTTTGGAGAGTTATGATGATGTTCCAGAAGAAGACGACTTAACTATATTTGAATAAATGTAGATTGTTGTACCATACTTAAAAAAAAAATAACACATTCCCTGAAAATAAGCCCTAGGGTGTCTTCTTGAGGAAAAATAAATATAAGACCCTGTCTTATTTTGGGGGAAACAGGGTAGGTCCTCTAAAGCAGGGTTTCTCAACCCCCCCATTGACATTTGGGGGCAGATAATGGTTTGTTGTGGGGCTGTCGCAGACATGTCAGGGTGTTAAGCAGCACCTCTGGCCTCTACCCACTAGATACCAGTGGCAGCCCCTCCCTAGAATTGTGACAACAAAAATGTTTCCAGACATTTCTAAATGTCCCTGGGGGAAAGCTGTGAGAGCAAAACTGAGGTTCAGAACCACTCATCGAAGGATGGATTACGATCAGTGAACCCCATTTTTTTTAAACTGATGTTGTGTTATGGCAGAAATAATTCTGTCCACAATGGCTTTCTATTGAACCGATCAACCAAGTGGGAAACAGCAAATGGAAAGGAGGCGGTCACCTGGTGGAACCCCATGGCCGTCATGCTGTCAGGCAGAGTGTCGTCTGGCCCTGCATTAAGAAGATGGAACGAGGGCTGCAATCACTCATCGGGGATGGCACAGCAGCCTGGAGAGATCAATCCCACCCAGTGTCGCATTAAGGCTCGAGAAAGTGCGCCGGGGAAACAAGTCGGAACTGGCATACAATAAAAGCTTTTTAACCGCATGGAGCAAATCAGTCTCTGGGCTGTGCCAAGAAGGGAGTCTGGAAGGGACACAGTTACGGGGATTACGACTAGAGAGATGATTAGAGACTTGGGGAATTCTTTTTTCGAGGACTTGCAAAGGAAATGCGACTGTAATTAGAAAGGGAAGCGGGCTTCTCACTCTCTCTCTCTCTCTTAGGTGAACTAAAAGCTCCAGTAAATACATAACAAGAACCTACAAAACTTCCAAATCAGTAGGAAGATGTTCTAACTTCAAAAATCACTAATGAATATGTCCTAAAGCAAAGTGAAACTGCGTTGGAAAATCAGTCTCCTAGTTACTTGTCAAGTCGGGGGCTTCAGGATTCTTAGGGATGTCCTGAAGCAGCAGATGACAAGCTATTGAAATAAAAATTCTGAATAAAATCAGGGCAGCCCATTAGCCCAAACAGGGGGAACCCCGGCAAGAGACTTAAAGGATTTGTGAACTGAGATTTTTTTTGTGTGTGTGCGGCTGATATTCTTACTTTGAGAAGCGTAGAAAGTAATTTTTGCCTTTTTGGCGGGGGGGAATATAAAAACCCAAACTGAGATCTGAGGTTTTTATAGTTTGGCAAATTTCAGAGATATGAAAGCAGCATTTTTGGCACTCAGGGATTGAGAGGCAAATGACATCATATGGCTTAAGGGAAATAGAGAGCTAAAAAAGCACATTTGGAAAATTTCAGAAGCTGCCTGGCACTGATATAATTTTGAATTTTTTTTCCCAGTGAATTTAGTTGTCACAAAAGGCACTAGACTGATGACCCCGCAGAGAAAAACGGCAAGTCCCAGCTGCACCCTAATTGGCACTAGGGTTGGAGCTGTTGCCTTGTCAGAGTTGGCCCTCAGGGGGCGACTCCCAGAACTGGTGACCCGCTGGGTGTGAGTTACGCGGTTCAGCTACAGTCTCGTTGGCTTGGAGAGAGGTAGGAGAGTGACTGACTTGTCACTTCCTGGTCTCAGCTTCCTAAGCCTCATGGCACCCCAATCATTATTGGGGTGATTTGGGGAATATATATTTGGAAGCTCAAGATAGTCATCCCAGAGTTGCTCTGTTGTGTTCATCCCCCTAGCAAGAGCTCACGGGAATGACATCATAGTCAGTAAATGGCAAACAGATTCAAAGGTGGAAGACAGAGTTTGTGAGAAAAGACAAGTGGGAGAAATATTTTCCCTTCAAACCATTACTGACCATTTCCCTCAGTAATGGACACTGGTTAGGGGACACCCATGGGCAAGGGGAATGTACCAAGGGTTAAGACAGAACAAGGATGGGAGAACTGAGATAAAAGGAATTGTTTCTGGCTCTCATTTTTTTCTCTTTTTTTCCCTGAGCCTGTTCATTTTCAATAGCCATCCTAGAATTTATGGCTTTGCAGAGAGGTGGTAAATGAAAAGTTACATAAAAACATTTTAAAATGGGGAAAATATTAAAATGGAAAAGAAGAAAGAGGAAAGGATGAAAATATACTTAGTGCTACGAATACACATTCATAGATGGGAAAATGCAATGCAAGGCACCAAATACAAAAATCAGAACAAGTGACATGTAGTGACCTTGTGGCAGGTCTTTTCTAGGTTCTGATAATATTGTATTCAGTGCTCCAAGCCGGGTTTTGGCCTGATGACTAAGTTAACATTAGTGTCACTCACTGAATTGGAAAAATAGAATGGGGCTAAGTGATGTGCTCATCAGTATATCAATGTCTGATCAATTCCCTACTTGTTTTCAACTCTTGATTCAAAATATTTGCTTTTTCTCCCCACTTGGCTGTCATGGTGCTGCGTTTCCCATAGGATTAGGGAAAATTCTGGTGTTCACCATGAAGACATGGGGAAATATGTCCAACTTTCACTCCTGAAATCATCTACTCAGAAATCCTACTTTCTGATTATGGGCTCCTCTTCCGGCTCCCCTCCAATCTTCTCCTCCCACCCCTAGGCTCCTGGAACTCATTCAAACCGGGGGAACAGAGACGGTCTGAGCAAAGGAGCCTGCTGCCTCTTGTTTTCTGTCTTTGCTACTTTAAACCCAGGGAGAAGGAATTTTGTCTACTCTGCCCCTCTGATT